TTTTGATGTATAGATGGGAGGATAACCCTTTCTAGAGGGGAAAGGGGATGGAGTTGTGAGGAAACATTTTTTCAGTGCTCTGTTCCTTACTCCTTTTGTGATTGAGTATAATAACTCTGGACTTGTTGCCTCATCTATGAAATAAAGGGATTGAATGATTCGTAAGGTGGTTTAAGAAAAAAATCGGAAGATTCCTAAGATTCTTGAGATTGAAATGAGAACCTAAAATAATTATTTTGAAGAATTGGTCACTTTTAACAATTTAGAGACATTTTATTTGTCATGTCAGTATTCATAAATGGAAAGTTTAACTGTGAAAACTTAACTCCCTCTATGTTTACAATTGAATTCAAGTTTTGGTCCTGGTGTGGAGAGATGTCCTTTTGTTCCGAAAGAACAGTGCTTTTGCAGATTTTACTTAGGCCCAAGTATTAGCCAGCCAGGCTATTAACTGAGGACTAATTTAGCTATATTCTGAAGGTTGGTCACAAGATGATTTTATTTTTTTCAGTTCCAAGAGTGGAAGGAAGTGCTTTATTAAGGTACGGAGGTTTTGATATGCATTGGTGGAAGGGGGAGTACTTAGGTTGATGTAATCACAGATAACCTGAAATATTGAAGTAAGGAATTATTTATGGGATTTTTCCTTCTACATTTTAAAAAGAATAGTCTGGGCAGCCTTTGACTTATAAATCCCACTCAAATGTGGCTTATACGGGATTGGCCACCCCTCACTCTCAATCCTACCCTAGAGAGAGGAGGAAGAGAATGGCTGGTTGCTTGGGAGCCATTGTGGGGAAAAAAAAACCCCAACAACTTAAGAGACTCTGAATTCTAAGTTGAAGAAATAAAGAAGCTGTTTGAGTTTGTGGGTCCTGACCTTTGGGCAGTCAGGTAAACTAGCTCTTGCTTATATACTGTACCCCTGCCATTTTCCCTCTTCCCTTTCTTTGTATTTCTGAGTTTTTTTCCACTCTATTTCCCTGCCAGAAATTTTACCAAGGTTTATTTGGGCTGATGGGAAACCTTTTTAAAAAAGCGTTGTTAAGACATTGGTACTTATTTTCCCCTAATGTTTTAGCTGAGTTCACTTGCAGCAAGAGATGAGAATTTTGATTGGAAGAGAAGTAGTAGGTTATTTTGGAGCGTGGAGTACTTCGGGTTATTGGGCAGGCCTAGGTGGGTAGTAATGTTGAAAACAGTATTTGGCAACTGAGAACTCAGATAGGAGGGGACATAAATAGGAGATAGACAGACTTGCCCATTCTGTATTTTGGAAGACATTTCTCTTGTTCCTCATTCTTTAATTTCTGTGCTCCTTTCCTCAAGACTCAGGTTAGTATGATTATTATTATTGCCATAGGTTTAGCTATAATGGCTGTTGTGTATTAATATTATTTCTATGGGAAAATTCATTCTGAGTTCCAATTAAATGAGCTTTCCCAACACAAGTAGTTTATACTTTAGGAAATGCATGTGCTAGTCTGTAGATATGGTTTATTTTATTGCAGTTTTCTGTATAGAGATGTCTTGACAAAAAAAAAAAGGCACCGATTCTGTTATATTGTCCCATAAGACACTTGTATGCAGTGTTGTGCTGGTAAGTGTTTAACAATCAGCTTCCTGAAAAAATATGTAGGAAACATTTTTAAATTTAAACTACATGATTAACATTTTCTCCATCAATTTAATAGACAATAAACAATAAATCAAGCCTTGATTTATAGCACTTGCTGATTTCTATTGTGTAAATATGCTCACTGAAAAATTTAACAGTTGGCTTATTTCAAGCACGTTCCAGCACACCCCTGCTTGTATGATATTATAAAAACTTGCCTTCATAAAAAAAAGATTTAAAAAAACTTACTTCTGGGCTTTGGAGCAGCTACCAGAAACAACCAATGGATAGTCTTCTCTTCCTGAATTATATAAGAGATTAGTAGGGCAAGGGTTTTATTCTCTATTAGTACCATATCCTTAATGTTGTTGTCTATTGATTTTTTCCCGTATTTTGTACTGATATCAGTATGTGAGGAAGGAGAGTAGAAATATGGGGGGATTAGAGTTCTGATCACTTTCATGGTGGTAGCTAGGTTTACTGTTTTTTTTTTCATTGGGAGTAGTGGGAGGTCAGAGGATTGGGGAGTGGGTGGGCAGTGTCTGATGGTCATTTATAGCTATGTAATATAATTTTTGTTCAGTATGGTATAGTAGAAAGTGAGAGCATGAAAATTTTGATGTCTTGAAACTTATTGCTAGAAGTTTAGAGATCTGAAATACTTATAAATATTATAACATTTTCTACCTCTTAAGCTGATGATAAGAGGCCAAAGCTGCTAGGCTCTTTGGGAGTAAAGAAAGCTTGGTTTGTTCTTCATCTTTATGCAAACTGAGAGATTTCATCAAACTTGTCTACTTCCAACTGTGAATTTTAGAATGATCTAAGATTTGTTACCTTAGCCGAATTTTAGATCTTTCTAAAACCTTAATCATTAAGCTTAGATCATTTAAAAATGCCAGAATCACTACTAAAGTATTATTTAGACCATGATATTTTTCTTTATTCTGAATTTTGTTAGTTTGTTAGTATAATTAAACCTTCCAGTATTATATATTCCTGTCTAATAGATTAAGTTGTTTGATGATGAGGCATGTTGTATTTTATATAAATTATAATTTTTTTGAGCTAGAAAGGGCCCTTAGAGATAATTTTAATTCATGACTCATATTTTATGCATATAAGAGTTGGGAATGCCTTTATTTCTGTAAATGCCACTAAAACCTTATTACTAAGTGGGTCAGTTTTATGAGTTGAGAGAAGAGATATTTGGACTACCAAGCTCAAGCCAGGATCTTTCTAATTTAAGATTGCACAGAAAATTTTGGATTACATAAATTAACTCTGTGACTTTACATAAATTACTTATTTGGGTCTTGCTTTTATCCTATACCAAGATACTCTACCAATTCATACAGGTACTGTGGGGGCACAGATGAGAGAATATATGTGAAAGTGCTTTGGAAACTGAATTGTAACAGGGCTGTCTCTAAATCTGACTGGGCTCAATGAGATAAAATGAGGAAGGACTTTAGAGATAAACAGTTTACTGATTTACTAACCAATTTAAAAAAGATTCTGTCTCCCTTCAGGCATTTGTGGGGAGGACACAGTCACCAGCAAGTCTTCAGACTCCCGCCTCTCCCAGTATGGCTCACTCTTTTCAAATGATTTCAGTTTTCTCTGAGCCTTCCTTAGGAAATCCTTCTAGACTCTTTCTAAGGATCTCCTCATCTCCTTTTCCCGGCCACTAGGAAATAAAAACAACACCTTTCTTACTACCCCACAAGTTGCTAGCTAGACACATTAAAGAGTGCTTGGGCAAAGAACTTAAAGAACGTGGTACCAGCGGACTTGGAATCAGAGGGATGGGCTGAATTGTGGGTCTGTCAGTTACTCTTGAGGTGTGTCCATGGCAGGGTCTCTTCACCTTAGTTTTCTTGTATGAGGCAGTCTTTGAACTTTAAGTCTTGTGGTCTTTCCCTTCCATAAAATGTTGGGGGAAGGGCAGGTTTAGCCATGGAGGAAGGGGGGTGAGTGATGCATTGGGACAAAGTTGGAAGTTTGAGTAGCTTTCCTAATAATTTGCCAGTGTTAATTATGGCTTCGCCATTTTGAATTTCTGAGAGGTTTTACATGCTCTCTTGAGAGAAACAGCCGTATTCATTTGTGCAAATCTGCTTTGTGTCACCTTCACTATTTTGGATAAATCAGTGCCACCACCACCCTTCATCAGCATGGATAATTGAGAGCTGACTTTAATGTATACCCACCTGAATGTTAAGAATCTACTCCAGAAGCTGGAATTTGCCAGGATGTAATTTTGAAGTTATTTCAGAGAGGAATTTTGCGTAGATTATTTCAGTGTTCTTCTTGACAGTTTTTATTTTTTGTGGGTAACATAGATTCTTTTAATATTGTTTTGGATAAGATTTTCATAAATTGTTGATATTATTACTAGGTAGATAGCTTTAATTTTTGATGTATGATATACTTGATCCTGATATGAAGTACTTTTGAAGACCATCTTCTATAGTAAATATTCTTATTTCATGGCTTCCAGACATTTTAGTAGGTCTTGTTTTTCTTGGTAATTTTTTTGTTAATTTTTATAGAATGTTGAAATTAGTACAAATTATCTCTTACTTTCCTTTAAGTTCTTAAAGCCCTTATATAAAAGTAGGAGCCACTTGTTAAAATCTCGTTAACTACATGCCTAACGTCTTATATGAGGCTTTAGAAAGATACCAGAATATTGAAAGTGACTAATGTTCCATGTAAAATATAGCCTTCATATTATTATTTTTTACTTTAAAAAGCAGTGAAGTGTAGCATTAGTAGTATAGTATAGTGGGCTGGGCCTGGAGTTTGGAACAGGCTCAGACACTTACTAGCTGTGTAACCCTGGACAAGTTACTAAATTAGCCTCTCAATTCCCTCATCTGTAAAATGGGAATAATAATAGCACTTACCTCCCATGGTTATTGTAAGGATCAGATGAGATGATAATTGTAAAATAATGGCACATGTTAAGCTCTGTATAAATGTTAGCTAATTTATCATCATCATTATCATTATTTATTATTAAAATACAGTTAGTAGTATTTTAAATAAAGTTTCTGTCACAGATTTCTGAAAGTCATTCAGATTTAGATTTCATGATACTCATTCCCTAAACTTGCTCTTGCATAGAGATTATAAGAATTATGTAATTTAAAGTAATGTTGGAATAAAAGAGTTACTAATTTAAGCATAGTAAAAAGAAGTACTAATTTAAGCATAAATACTAAGGTGTTTAAAACACATGTTGTGATGTTTAAGTTTATAGATATTAGAAATAAATGGCATTTTGCCATACTATGCCAGCTATGTGTTATCTTGCACATAGTAGGCAATGTGTGTGTTTAAAAAAAAAAACGTGTAAATGTATTTTATTTTCTAGGCGAGGTTTAAATCCACCACATAGGGTGAAATCCATCTCCATGACAACATTCACACAACAGGAAATTGAATTTCTCCAAAAACATGGAAATGAGGTAAGTGCTTTTAAAATTGTTAGTTGTTTTGTTGGCAACTGTTGTTTGGTGTGAATAAGATAGTTGGTAAATATCACTTTCTATGATTTTATCATTTTAAAATGATTTTAAAATTTATTGGAAAGTACATAAAAAAGTGTAAGTCAGAATATCTGAGATCTTGTATATGAACACCATACCTAAAACATTGATAAATATACATATGTTACATTTGGTGTTTTAAGTTGTAATTCCTAAAAAGACTGTTGAAGAGATATTTTTCTTTTAGAGAGGTTGTCTTCTTTGTTTTAAAAGCTTAAAACAAGAAGAGAGGAAACTTTGTATATTCTTATAATAAATTTTTAAAGCTATGGGTGCAATTAGTACATGAAACGCTTTGAAAATTTCCATCAACTCCATGTTGAGTGTTTTCTTAAAACATATGTTGAATTTGATTTTATTGTTAATGGCTTTATTAGAAACAACTCTGGGAAGTTAGAATGAGATCGATGATTATAAACTAACAGGTTAGAACATGGGGAACTGGACCAAAGTTTTGGTGGAGTATTCTCTTCTTTTTCACTCACTGTTAACCAGCTTTCCCAAAGCTCCTGTCTTCTAGTACTTGCAGCACTAGGACAGTTCTTGGACAGGCAATACTCATGTTGGTGGTGAAACCACCTGTGGGGGTGCCTGACCTTTCTTTTGTCTGTGGTCATTGCTTCTGAATATCCAAACAAGAACCAACTCCCCTCTGGCAAAGTCATTTTCACTTACCTGGTCACTTAAATCTAAGACTAATTACAAAGTTGCCATCCTGTAGGACTTCTCCATGAATGATGAGTCATAGGTCTGGATGAAAACAAAGCACTTCAATTTCTGTTGGTGTAAGCCTTTACATAATGTATCCAGTTATTCACTGATTGAAGTGATCATGATTGGTGTATATGATAAAGACTTCAAGAAGAAAATAATTTGTTTTTCATACTTTGTGCAATCCAAGACTGTGCCTTTGATCTTCAGCTGGCACTTGTAGAGCCTGGCATTATTTGCCATTTTTCTTCATAGTCAGCCTCACTTCTAGTAGATCCAGCCTGTTTTGCTCTTTGTACCATCATGCTACATCGATTTGCTTTAGTGTATTCTTAAGTGTTTCTGATCTTTGTTGCAACATTTCCATTTATCATATTGCTACTGCTTGTTATTTATTCTCCATACCTGTTGAATTTAGGGCAATTTATTTTTTTTAGGCAGTTGGGGTTAAGTGACTTGCCCAGGGTCACACAGCTGGTGAGTATCATGTGTTTGGTCTGAGGCCATATTTGAACTCAGGTCCTCCTGACTTCAGGGCTGATGCTGCATCCACTGTGCCATGTAGCTGCCCCTAGGACAATTTTCTTACAGTAATCATGGCTTTAATGATGATAAATTGACTGTGTTTCATGACTTTGGAGTTTTGGCTTTCTATTTAGTGTTGTATTCTCAAAGTTGAATGCAAATTCAGCAGCTAGGTGGTAGTGGTTAGAGCCTTGGACTTAAGAGTTAGGAAGACCTAAGATCAAATTCTGCTTCAGATAAGAACCAGCTTTGTGACCCTGCATAAATTACTTAACTTCTCTCCATCTCAGTTTCCTCATCTATAAAATAGGAATAATAGCTGATTTCATTTTCTTCCTTCTTCAGCTTAACCAAGTAGTTAGCGATTTCAGTTCTTATACTGTCCTGTATTCTTGAATCCCTTACCCTCTTGGTCTGTTTCTGCTCTTCTCTTGACAGCCTTCTCTTGGTTCCTCATTCATGACAATTAGTCTCCTGTTATTATGCCTAAAGTGAACTTCATCACTTACCTGTGCCTCATAGAGACTCTCTATCCCTGTAATATGTACCTTCTGCATGAAGCCTTTCTTGGTTCTTCTGATTCCTGCAACAGATAGGGCTCTGCTTCCCAAACTGCTGCTTTATAGTGAAAAACTTTGTATATGTGTGTGTGTGTGTGTGTGGTGTGTGTGGTGTGTGTGTGAGAGAGAGAGAGAGAGAGAGAGAGAGAGAGAGAGAAGGAGGTGGGCAATAGAGGTGCTTCTATATGTGCTCATATATCTGCATGCATATTATTATATACATATAGGTATGTGCATATATTAACTGTTATCTATATCTGTATCTATCTATCTATCCACACTTTTTTTTTGTGGGGCAATCAGGGTTAAGTGACCTGCCCAGAGTCCACACAGCTAGTGAGTGTTATGTGTCTGAGTCCGAATTTGAACTCAGGTCTTCCTGACTCCAGGGCCAGTGCTATATCCATTGTGCCACCTGGCTGCTCCTAACTTTTATTTTTAATATGTACTTCTCTACTCCATTATAATGTCAGCTCATTTCATTTTTTTGAATTCTGTGAGGTACTGGATGAATGTGTGTTGAATTGCATTATTTTTTTTTAAGACTCATGCTTGTTTTATAGAAGAAATGTCTGCATTGCTATATTGGAACTCATTTTGAGAATCTATTGTTCTGTCCTTTGGTGTGAAGATGATGTTACTGATTTAGTGTCAGTAGGGAGGGCATGTATTTGGAGATATTTTTAGAGCAATGGTGATAGGCTTGCACTAATTTAAATATACTCTTGTGACAAGAAATTTTTTTCTGTAATGATTAGTCTAGAAGCTCTGATGAGCAAAGAGATGTTATGATAATCCTCAGTCTGTTTTCTTTTCTGGAAAATCTGTTTTGATGAACTTTGAGATTCACATTTCTAATTATTGATATTATATATTTGAAGATGAAGAAATAAGAAATGTTGATATGTTTTCAATATACTTCCCATTGTTAATGGAAGAGCTAAAAATAATCATCTTTGACATTAAAAAAAGGTAAGTATCATAGAATTAGTGGCCTTGGGGGAAAAAAACAGATTTTTGGATTTAAATACCTAACTTGGACAGATGTTGAATGAAATAGTGATATGTAGGCAAATGTGGTGTATATGGCATTGAGAAATAAACTTATAATTAGGTCATCTAAATTTGTGACTTGTATAGGCAACAGCCATATTTACTTGTGGTTTATAAGATTCAAGATATTCAAATTATACTTGTTGACAAGGATTTGGAGACAAAGATATTTTTACGTATTTAGGAAATAGAACACAGACACATTTACCCTATGATTGCCTGTTCAAAATCTCTTTCAGTGTGTTTCTTTGTATCTTTTATTTAGAACTGGCAAGTTATCTTAGCGATTACCTAGTTCACAAAACTTTATAGATGAGAAAATACGTATATTTTAAATGACGAACTAATTTAATGGTAAATTTGGGACTAAAACTTGATTGTAGCCAGGATTTTTTTCCCATAGTCCCTTGTTGCCTCTCATATGTGTATACTCAGAATATGTGTATGCATGCTTCTCCATTCAGCAAATGCTAGCAACTTACTGTGTCTATGACACTGTATTGTCTTGTGGAATATATACGGTCCTATCCTACAAAGAGTTTACCATCTCACTGGGGAGACAAGATTTAAAACTTAACATGGAAAATTCAATAACACTATAAGACTGTATATTAAGTTGCAAATACTAGTATAAATTCTATTTCTTCTCCATGATTTTGTAATAACTATTCTCCCATGCTTGGAATGCACTTCTTCCTCTTCTGTTTCTTAGAATCCTTATCTTCTTTCAAGATTCAGTTCATGTCACCTCCAATGGAGCCTTCCCTATCTCATTAGTTATAACATCTCCTATTTCAAATTACATTCAATTTACTTAACTATATAAATGTTGTAGTCCCCTTTTCCTCATTAGAATGTAAGCTTCTTGAGGGTAGGAATTTTTTTTTGCCTTTGTATCTCAGACTTCTAACATATTAACTTGCTCATAGTTGGTCCTTAAGCAGGATTAGAATGTTCAAGGAAAGCTTCTCAGAAGTTGGGTTTAGACTAGATTTTGAAAGATGGATAAGATTTGAATAGGTGGAGAACAGAAGAGAAGACATTCTAGGGGCAATTGGGTGTTTGAAATCATTCAGTGAGGATTAAAGCAATCATTTTAGTTGGAGAGCCTGGTTCATGTAGGGATCAGTGGGACAGCATGTTCGAACTAGATTATAGAACTAGAAAAGTTTTTCTAGCTGGGGAGCTAAATGATGAAAGTTATATTTTAGGAAGATGTATCTGATAGCATTCTTTCAAGATAAATTGGAAAGACCTAGAGATTAGGGACTGGTAGACAGTTTGGGGGCCAATAAAGGCTGTTGCAATCAGGTATAAGTTAGAGAGGGCTTTGATTAGGTTAGTAATTTGGGGAATGGAAAAGAATTGATGATGGGTAGGCTCACAAAGGAAGAATGATGGAACAGATTAAGGATATCCCTCTTCTTTTTTTTTGGCAGTTGGGGTTAAGTGACTTGCCCAGGGTCACACAGCTAGTAAGTGTCAGATGTCTGAGGCTGGATTTGAACTCAGGTCCTCCTGACTTCAGAGCCAGTGCTTTATCCACTGAACCACTTAGCTGCCCCCTAGATATCCCTCTTCTTTCTTTTATATTGGGAGATAGTCTATTTCCTTGTAACAAAGAATAAAAATGAAAGGGAGGTGAGAATGAGGGGGCATTTCAGCAAAATAAAATGAGTCAGTATTATCAGCCATTTAATTATATAAAGCATTGCATATCCAGTCTTCTTACCCTTATACTCCTTTATAGAGGGAGGGAGGTATATTTTCTCATTAATATTCATTAAGTATCTACTGTGTGCCAGACACTATTAAGAACTGGGAGTACAAATATGAAAAAGAAAGACTGTTCGTAATTGAATGGGGGAAGATAATACACGAAACTGAAAAGGAGTGAAGTGGATGGGGTAAGGAAGGTACTGGACAGTGGAGAAATTCAAAGGAATTCTCAAAGAAATGAAGGTTGGATGTGGGAAATGAGATGGCTGGTCTGAGCACCCTCTTTTTTGTGGGGAGGTTAGGCAGTTGGGGTTAAGTGACTTGCCCAGGGTCACACAGCTAGTAAGTGTC